TTGTTTAATCCATACAAAAACTGAAGTGGAACTGGAATTACTGCCTCGCGGTTGTATGCCTCTGCGAACCAGTCAAATTGCAGGTATAGCAACATCCATGTCTGTGACAACATGGATGCTTCAAACACATCTTCCCCCAGGCAGCATAGAGGATCTATACAATCACAGCTAAATTTTAAGGTGGACACCCAAGAGTAGAGTTACCAATTCAATATCTGACCAAATATCTCCCCTTTTGTTCCTGAGTTATGATGCTGTGCAAAGGCCAGAAAACTGTTTAATGCAGAACATTATGATGTCACAGTGAAGCTGACCTTTGACCTTTTGGATATAAAATGTCCTCACTTTATTATTTTATCCTATTAGTCATTTATGTGAAATTTTGTCATAATTAGCATATGAATTCCTGAATTTTGTCAAAAAAAGAGGTCACAGTGACCTTGAACTTTGACCTTCAACCACTAAATTCTAATCAGTTCATTCTTGAGTCCAAGTACATGTTTGTGTCAAATCTGAGGAAACTCCCTCAAGGCGTTGTTGAGATATCATGTTCAAGAAATGAGACAGACAAAGGTCACAGTGTCCTTTGACCTTCGGACACCAAATTCTAAATAGTTCATTCTTGATTCCAAGTAGATGTTTGTGACAAATTTGACAGATTCCCTCCAGGTGTTATTGAGATATCATGTTCATGAGAATGAGACAGATGAGGTCACAATGACCTTGACCTTTGACTTATGACCCCTGAAATTGAATTAGTTCATTCTTGATTGCAAGTTGATGTTTGAGCCAAATTTGAAGAAATTCCCTCGAGGCGTTGTTGAGATATAGTGTTCATAAGAATGGGACTGATGGACAGACAACCTGAAAAAACAAAATGCCTCCAGCCACGGCTATCGCCAGCATGGAGACATAAAAATGTCAAATTTGGGATTTATGGATGGCTATGTGCAGGAGTACTTACACTGACAGTTGCTGGGGAAAAAATCTGTTATCATAACAGGCACATGTATAAATGCTATTTGATAGGACTATTTAGAATGATAGATGGTGGTAGTGGCCCCAGGTGAAATAAAATGGAGGGACGGGGAGGCCACATGTTTGTTGTGCCTTGCTCAACTCTGTATTATCAAGCCCACTGGGCTGATTAATGCCATCATTGCATTTTCATCCCCCACAGTCCCATCTCCACCGTTAGGGGAAATTCAGGTGTTAATTGGGTTGACGTGTTAAACCTTATTAAATGTACCAAGGGACTGACATCTATGAATAGGTTTACTGCCGTCAGTAGAGTTTGGATGGGCACTCCCTTCTTTTGAGTCCCTCTCATCCCGTCTTTAATCCCTCAGTAAATAGTGATAAAGACAGAAATAGCCCTGATTGAGCCTTGTCTTCCTTCTCTTGCTCATACAAATAAACACACACACACGCATTCTTGCTCAGTGATCTGTTCAAGCACGTGCACCTCCACACGCAAAGCCCGCTGTGTCTCACACAAACCTACATGCACTGGAGCTTTATTTGTCTTACACACAAACACATACAGTCTGGCCATATTGTGTCTCTATCCAACATTTTCATGCACATTTCTCTATTGCTGCCCTTGTTTATCTGACATGCTACATCAGAGCCCTGGCAGCCCTTCCTCCATTTAGATTTCCATTTATAGTGTTGAGGATGAATTATTAAAATCAGCAGGAGATTTTTTTTTTTTAGCTTCTCTTTTCATAAAACTGAGGTGAAATTACAATGACTCTAATCATCGCTGCAATTCCCTGCCATTAAAACAAAAGCCTGTGCAAGATGGAAAACCAGGTAATGAATGCATGGAGCGAGGCAGACAATGGAGCCAACCGAACGCGAGGTTTTGTGAAATGGAAATGGGGAGACTGACGGGCGCTTTTGAAAAGGCCGACCGTTTGAGGCGCACATTTGATGCACATTTCTGTCTGGCAGGGGCAGAAGGAGAGAAGTCTGTTTTCAAATAGACCTGTCATGGTGTTAAAGGCTGATGCTGCACCTTTAAGTGTGTGAATGTTTATAACGAGAGGGGTTAATGTAGCACTTGGCGGCACACCTATAACAACCATTTTCCACGCCTCACTCTTATCCACACTGCCAAGCTTGGCTTTCTTCATGCAAATCTCTTATTACACGCTTGTGTTACTTGAAACAAGGAGGAACATGTGGTTACGCACCTCTTTTATCTTAAGATTAAAGGCTGAGTTAGACATAGTGTCGTAGTACTTGAGAATGGTTTTGGTCCCGAGACCAAAGTCTCCGGACCACTTTTTGAATGTATCGGTCATGTTTCTGACTCAGCCACAATTTCACTTGGTCTTGTCTCACTTCAGGACAAAGAGTACTCGGAATTTCATCACAACTGCAGGGATATCACTAAAAAGGAGTGTTGAATAAAGATGGTCAAGATGATTTCAACTCTTAGTGTTTGCCCATAGAAAACAAAGGAAGATTCCCACATATAAAATTCAGCTCTGCAATGCTTTCAGGGTAATTTGAGGAGTGCCAAAGGTGTGCATGTTCCACATTTTATCATAATAGCATCATGCAGTGTGGGACTAACAATGGTCTGGTACAGTACTGACTCGGTCCCAAGCCCTCAAAGTCTTGGTCTTGTGTCGGTCTAGGGGGTCTTGACTGCAACACTGGTGACTATGTAATTTAAATATTATATCAAATAATTTCTACATGCTTTGGTTCATTATTTTGGTTAAGTTAAGAGGATAGATGCAGCTTAACCAAGAGTACAGTTTTCTGCTTGACCTCTGTTACCTCAAATATTGCTGCTTGGTTTTTACTTTGAACACATTTTCCTGCCTTACTCAGAACTCTGCACATACTTAAAGTTTAATGATTAGCTCAGGTGAAAACTCTCTGAATTTTGTACAAGTGTGCACTCGAGAGAACAATGACCTGCTGTGGGTTTTTCAAATTTTGAAGCTGCCCACTCAGCCAATGCCATTGTTATCAGGGACTGTGCTTGATTAAAAATCAACATCAGTGCTCTCATTACCACAATTATCAAAAAGCTGGTTCATATATCTACATAGGTGCGGTACAACAGCCATTCAGCAAGTCAAGAAATCAGTCCAAAGAAAACAGAATATAAATTGCTGAGTCACAGAATATGGAGCGATGATCTTTATCATTAAGATTAAATAAATGTTTAAACTCACTGCGGTCCTCTAAATGCTTTATTTAGTGCTTTGAATGTGATTTTAATGGCTTCTCTGTTGTCTAAATCCCACTTCATCTGGCACAATAGTTGGATGAGTTTTAAAGGGATCATCACAGCAACGATCAGGGTGTGTGAAAGGCGCCAGGAAATAATTTAAATGTGCTGAGTTAAACAGATGGCCTGCACGTTCAGTGTTTGCATATAAACAGGGTTTGGATCATCGCGTACTGCCAAGCCAGAACAAACAGCAGGCGTTTCTCTCCTGTCTGCAGGTAAACATGCACACTTTACATCCTGAAAGTAAGTGCTGAGTCAGCCCGACACAGATGTCCAGGGATGTTGTGGAGATATTAGTATTCAGCCCGCAGTGCTTAAGGTTAACGAGCAGACATGGGGAAAATATTAAATGCAATGGAAAGACACTGATATGTAAAACTGCCAAATAAAGATAGTGTCTATCATGCTGTGAGCTTTCCAAAAGTCACAAGTGTTGCTGACTGCATTTACATGCACAATCTTATTCCACTTTATTCTGAATTTGACAGTACTGTGAAGTTGATACGGGTTATGTAGACAGTATATTGTGTTTGGATATTCCAAATTAGGCTTTTTTTTTCCAAATGTAACATTTTCCAATTAAGAAATGTGGGATATGCTGGTATTACTCTGATTTAAGAAGCATTCTTTGGTCATGTACACAGTGCATTCAAAATATGCGTCTTAATGGGGGTTTTTAACCACAGTTTGTGACACATGGCATCTTGCCTGTTAACAATCAGCTCTGTGCACTGTACACAACAGTTTGTAAGGCTAAGGTATGCCCAAAGGAAAAGCCCACATTTCCAGTCAAGAGGAGTAACACGCCTACTTTTAAACATAATGAAAGACTTGGATATCAACAAGTTTTTGGATATGCAGTAGTATCGCCGATTTTTTCAAGTAGGTGGTTGGAGCCACCAAAGGGAAACTTTGAGAAAATCCTGTTTTGACACAACGACGTGAAATAGCATGGGAGGCTTCAGCCCACTTTTCCATATTTTGACATGATAAACAACATGTTAGGGTGCGTTAATTGGAGTATGCACGGCTGCATGTAAACAGGATGTTAGTGATTTATTCATTTTCATTAGGCATGTAAACATCTTTTTCAGAGTAAGGGCAAAAATATATATATTTAAGTTATATTTTGTTCATGTAAATGTAGTCACTGAGTGGGGGAATGTAACTAACAGGGCAAAAACAGAGAAACATATGATCACATGACTAAGCAAGAAGTGAAGAGATAACAGACATCTTACATCTAAATTGGGATAAGAAATCCAACACTCAAATTGGCATAAAGTGTCACTGCAAACTATTGATACTACTATTTTGATAGCTTGTATAAATAATTTCTTGCTCTGTAAAGTAAATTTTATATTCCATCATGTTTTTTTTTATTTAGTATGCTGTCCAAGGACAAGTTTCCATTTGAATTTTTATCAGCACTTACAAATCTGAAAAGGTTGTACAGACTTTAGAGGTATAAGCAGAAGCAGCTGAAAGACATGATAAATACCCATGGCCTGATTTGTTTACCATACAAAATTCAAGGACTAAAAACCAAGGTTGTAAAGTGAATCAATGTGCAAACTAAGGTACACCATACTTGGGGGACACATTAAAAAATCTACAGTATGTTTGACTCTCAATCTGTGTAAGAGCTGTGCAAATTTAGCTCTGTGTGGATATAAAAAATTATGTACATTATACGATCGAATTAATGACAGACTTTAGAGAGCAGAGACTGGATGGTACCAACCTTAAGAGGAGGGACAGGCAGAGGCTTATTGTCCTTGTCCAGGGAGATGAAGGTGAAGAAGGCAGAGACAGCACGGTATTTGTCTACGTCTATCTCCACCAGCGAGGAAGCATCCACCAACACTTCGATTTCCATAGACTTGTTACTGACGAATGTGAGCCGCCCTGTCACCGTCACCACACAGCCTGAAAGAGATGAGGAGGAGAAAAATGTTTAATGTTAATGTTTGATGTTTATGCATTACACTGGTTTTGTAGTAGTATGCTGCCATAGAAGACATTTTCATTTTAATAAGGAAACTCATTTCATGTTGACTTAACAGTTTCAAGTTTAGGTTATTTATAGAGCATATTTAAAACAACAGAAGTTGACCAAAGCACTGCACAACGGTAAAAGAGCAATAAAATATATGAGGCATAATAAAGCATAGTAAAAACAGCGAGTGCCTCAACATAAATACAACCAGAACAATGACAGTCAACTAAATAAAAGAACAAGAGGAGAAAATTCATACGGATACAAATGCTTAACAATAAAGCAGGTTTTGAGTTGATTTTTAAATGAGCTTAGGGAAGGGGCTGATCTAAGAGAGTGGGAGATTGTTTCAAAGTTTAGGAGCCGTGGCTGCAAAAGTGCGATCTCCTCTGTGTTTGCTGTTTGTTCGTGGGATGACTTGGAGACCAGTGACAGAGGAACAGAGAGCTTTAGCGATGGGTGAAGCAGAGGCTATGGAGGTTGGATATGTAGGGGGCCACTGAGAGCTTTAAAAACAAACAGGAGAATCCTGAAATGAATGTGGTAATGAACTGGAAGCAAGATGGAGTTGGAGGTGATGGGGGCTCTTTTCCTGGTTCCAGTGAGCAGCCTAGCAGCAGCATTCTGAACGCATGAGACACAGATGCAGGGTTCAGCTTAAGAAAAGTTATATTTAACACTCTGAGACTTTTTAATGCCACTCTAAATGAAATTAAGCACACATTTACAATAACCAAATGTTTGCTGTAACATAAAACGTGAATTTTTTGTGTTTGTTGCTGGGTTTTCTGGGCGATTTTGTGTTTCTCACGCTGCACGTGGGATTACAGTTCCATTATTCCCATAGTTCCCATAGTTTGGGCAAACTTTTTGCAGTGGATCGTCTGCTATGAGCATCCCAGGCAGAAACAAAATATGAGTTTTGTCTTTTACGCTCTCCTGATCTGCATGACATCAATGCGGCAGGCATTCAGTATATTACTTTTAAAAAAACAGATGTTACCAATTATCTTGAGATTTTACAAGGCAATGTCAAAAAAAGAAGATTCACAAAACTAACTTCCAATATCTGAGCATTTAGAGACATTTGAAAGATTGATTTAAGACATTTAATACCATTTAAGGCCTTAGTTTTAGATTAAGGAAATACAATGCATTTTAAGACTGGTAATACTGGTATTGGGGTAGAGTGAGATGCAGTATTCAGTCTGTGAGGATATGAAAACATGGATGAATATTTCAAGGTCTGGGCGGGAGAGAAGAGGTTTTAATTTAGATCAAAGCTAAAAGAAACTGGACTTGACAACTACACTTATCTGTTTATTATATTTTAGGGCAGAGTTTAGGATGAAAACAAGGTTGGTAGTATGCGGCTTGAGGTAAGGTAAAAGTTTGTGAGTAGTTAAATGGAGTCCACGGGGCCAAAGAGCACAGCCTCAGATTTATGAACACTGAGCTGCAGGAAATGAAGGCGATCCAACTTTTGATGTCCTAAGGCACTCCCTGAGGCAGTCCAGGTCTGATGGGCAATATCATATCCCAAGAGCACTTTAATGTTTTAAAGTCTTGACATTAGATTTTCCATCTACTCTGTCCTTCAGCCATTCAGAGAAAATTAATATTGTTGTTGTTTAAAATTTTAAAAGGCTAAAAAAAAAAAAAAAAAAAAAAAAAAGAAGTTTCGAGAGAGTGTTGAAAAATCAAAATATTGCCTTGCAACTGTCTCACAACTGAATGACTGCGGTTTTAAATTACCTGAAAACTTTGAGCGAACGCAACAACATTCACTACAAATACTGTGAGCTGACATCACACTAAGGACCTTCATGTATAACTGAACATGAACTGAACATGAACTGAACATGAAATAAGCTGGCAAATTGATGTAGTCAGCCAAGGAAAACATAGGATCTGCTCTCACAATCTACTTCACATTGTTGCATCATGGACTTCTTGAAGTCTGTGCCACAGAGAGATTCAGCAGAGTGAAGCAGGCCGATGCTCTTTGGCTGGAGGGATTTAAGAACTACAGCCAATCAATCTCTCCAACTGCAAGGTTTTCAGATGAATACAAAGTAAGACCTTTGAAAATAAAGCTTGTTTTTGTGCTTCAAATGAGAAAGAAAAGTTTAAAATCTTTTTGAAGATGTTAATGTCTGACGCCACATATAGAGAAGGTACATTAGGTTCACTGCTGCAGAGCATTTGCTACCTTTCTTTTGATTTCATCCTGAGCCCCAATCTAATCCATCCAATGTATTTGACTCATCAAAAATTAGTGCTTTTCTCCTTCTGTCACTGCAGGGAGGAGGGATTAAAACAGTCAACTAATAGTACTGGGCATTGCTGATGTGTTTCTTTATTCTCTTTGATGTGCCTGTACTGTATTATTACTCCTGTTGCCATAGTGACGAGGAGAGAAGGTGTTATCCCTGCAGTCTGAGACAGATCTGGAGTCTGACTGAGATCTTGTAGAACAGTCAAAGTCTTAGATAATAAATTATGTACATGGAGAATGAAAAGAGGCTTTTACAAAAGTATGTGCTGCAAACTATTTCTAAGGGAATTACACTTGAAATTTCAGTGGTGTTGTTCAGTGACGGAGCTCCGCAACTCATACAGGCAAATCAGAGTTTAAAAGCTGTGCTCATTGGTTAAAAAACATCAACATTAACTGATTAAATCAACCCGTGTTTACATTTTCCTGACAAGAGACCTCTTGTGGTCTATTCAAACAATGGCTGTAATCTGTCAGTAGCCACGCAGAGGTGCAGCCACACAAGAGAGGCTGATGGAGGTGATGGCTGGGCGGGCAAAGTGTGTGACTCTGACACGAGAGTTGGTGGTTTGTTTCCAGTCTTCTGCTAGCAAAAGTTTGTTTCTTTTTAATCATAACCCCAGTGTTTTTGTTTTTTTTTAAGTTTAAAGGGGACCTGTTGTGCTCATTTTCAGGTACATACTTGTTTTGTAGTTTTCTACTTGAACATGTTTACATGCTGTCAAAAACACTTTAATTTTCTCACACTGTCTGTACTGGAACACCTGTATTCGCCCTCTGTCTGAGACGCTCCGTATTAGCCTCTTTAAGCACCCCTCCCAAAAAAGCAGAGTCTGCTCTGATTGGTCTGCATTTCCAGGTCTTCTGCATCTAGCTGTCTCTGCACTGTCATTGGAATGACTATAATGGAGTATAGCAACACTTTCTACCATCAAAAAATCACTAATTAAAGCCAATAAACACAGAGACTAGCCATTATTCTGTCAGCCTAATTCCAAAGCCCCAGTAGTCTGAGAAACATTTGTTCACCAGCCTGTTGGCCCTTTGGAGCAATGTGCGTTTGTTAACAGGATAATGGGCTGTCATACAAATAGGCTTTCAGTCCAATGGGATATTTTTTGGACTACTGAGGCTCCAACATTATTGGTCGTTGGAACACTAGCATGGCACCCTAAACAACCGTACAAGTCCCTGCAGGACTATGAGCTGAAATTGGGGAGAAATTAACGCTGGCAACCAAGACTACATGTTTCCCTGATATTAGCATGTAGCTACATGTAGCAGTGTATGCAGACACTTGTAGGAACGTGCCTGAAGCAGATGACCATAAAAAGAAATCTATCACAAACTGATGTCAGCTTGTTCTAAATGTAAAAAAACCCATCAGAAACACAGTATTCAGAACGGTCTGATGCCTGAGGTTTTTGCTCAGAGGGATTACTTTTCAATATGTTTACCTCATTATTTGAAACTTTGGCCATGTGAAATATGAACATCTGACATTGGAAAATTTAATATATGAGAGAAAATAAGGAAAAGGTCCCCATAACAGTTGTCCTTTAACCAATTCACAATTCATCTTTAACCTTACGCAAGAAGTTGTATGTTGTCTGGACTTAACAAGGTACAGACTCTTACAAAAGTAAGGTCGGGACTTCATAAAATGGTAGCAACCAGGGGTGCCAGACCACAAGCAGCGGGTATGAAAGTGGGAGCTATACAAAAATTGTGGACACAGCGCTATAAAAACACAAATATACAAGGGTAAATCTGGGATTGGCTCTCACATTCGCTTTTGTTGGCAATACTGTTTACAAACAGCAGTCTACAATTTCTGCATAGTACACCTTTGAAATGGTCTGTTAAAGTGTTGACAGAAAACTTCAACCAATGTCAATTACTGTGTTTATGTGTGACGCCACCTCAGTGTAAGGTCTATGAGTCAGGCTGGCAGGGCCAGAAGAGGAGATAAAGCACAGCAAGCAAACTAGGAGAAGAGAAAATGGAAGGAATTATGCGCCGAGTGACCAACTTTAATCACTATAAACAGGTGCCATGTTGGAGTCTAGTATCCTATTCTTATACCAACACCTTGGCTTTGCAGTTTTTTTTCAGCTTCAACAGTGATGACCATATTTTCCATGATGTCACTGCCAGTGTTCAGCCAGTTTACAAGCGGGAACAAGTCCCCCTGAACGTTTGTAATTTGTTTTAGCAATATAAAGTTAAATTTGATATTGCCCAAGGACATGACTTTGGGGCTGACATCCAGGCAGTTTTATGACAGCTCTAAATTACATTTTCATTGCATGATTAGACAATGATTACTAACCTTATTCTCACTCCTCTGTCTAAAAGGTGTTAAGAAATTACATCACCATTATCAGAGATCTTACATGCTAGGAGATTTGAGAAATGATATCAAGGTGATAATGAAAATCCCACTGAGTGAGGAACTGTGAAATGGTGATTAAATGATTGTGTAAGGAGTCAGGATGAGGTACAGTAAAGTAACCGCAGCATGCTAACACAGTACATACACTGAAAGTTCTCTCCCTTGTTGTTGAGTGTTTTTACATGTTACTGCCTGGAGTGAGTCCAGTCTCATTCAGGTGAACCATCTCTGGCACAGATGTATTAGGCTCAGTGATG